CGTCCAGCCACACGGTGCCATCTGAGTGCCGATGAGGTGGTCGAGCAACGACAAAAGTTCTCTGCTATGAAGCAGCTGCCATTGGGAGAACTTTCCGTGACGGAGGTCCTGCTCAATGCTCAGCCGTTGGCGCACAGCCAAGGTGCCTGGACATCCTAGAAGCAGATGGTGCAAGGTTTCCTGCGGGCCTATTGGCGTGCTTTTGGAAGCAGGCTGATCCTGCGGCAGCAGGGATCGCCTCCTGGCACTTCTGTTTAGATGTCGTGTGGCGTCTGGGTTGTGTGCGCAGCGACTTCTGTGCTGTGCGGTGCTTCTCCGTGTGGGGAAAACCATGTCACAGAAATCGCATTTGAGCTCGGGAAGCGGTGGAGGATGTTCCGGATGAAATGACCGACAGTGACTGACGAGATTCGAGAATCCCGTCAATATAGAATCGCAGTACGGACATTTCTCCTTCCGACGGCGTGTGACGGTCCGTCTCCTTACTGGAGAGACGTCTTCGTCCCTTGCCGACGGGGGAAAAGCATCCGTCCCCGGTGCAGTCGGGTCGTTGTTGGAGCGCATATATGCAGACTGTTCCGGTGAGATGTTGCAGAAACGGCATTGGTTCGTGCAATCTCTCACAGCCCAGTATAATCGACCCCAGAGCTCAGATTCCCCGCACCTTGCCCTTGCGAGGTGAACCAGTTCCTGACGGTGGAGAACTTCCTGAGTGATCAGGTCCTTACCGCTGAGATCTGATGGCCTTGTGCCGCAAAGCAAGCAGCGGTGAGTGTCTTGACGAATGGTACTACGCCAATTATTGGTGAGCTGGGTAGTAAAACATGTCAGCAGGTCCGTATGCCATAAAGGTGCGATTCCTTGCTCCGTGTATTGTCCGGTTGCCATAGTCTGCGTCGCATACTGATCTGCAAGCTCATTAGCATGTACTCCACAATGTCCGTAACAAAACTGCAGGTGCACGGACCAGCCAGCACACGCCAGTGTCAAGAGACGCTGCCAGATCTGATCCTCCGTCCAGTCGGTCTGACTGAGCGGGCCCTTGTTTAGAGCCGCTAGAAGAGACTGACTGTCTGTAACCACAAGCAGGGTTTTATGCCTGTGTTGGATACGAGGGATAATCAGCTTCTCTAGGGCTAGAAGCAGCGCGCGGGATTCCGTCCTGTAGCTGCATGGGCGTGTGCCGCAGTTGGTACTGGCCTTTTCTATTATCTCAGATGAGTTGAGGGATGAAAGCAGTATTCCAACCCCGGCAGACTTGGGAACGCCGACACCGCCATCCGTCGCGAGTATCCACGGTCCCCAACGATGAAGTCGTACATTGTCGCGGTGCTGGGGCTTTGGTTGCATATAGGAACTGCGCAGCAGGGCGTTGCTGCGAGCACGACGGAAACCAAGACGACTCTACCCCTCGAGAAGGTACCACGCCATGCCCGGTGTGGGGAGGTGAAGCGGTCTGCCTGCAGACTGTCGGA